CATGAATTATTTTGAAATAACAAAAAAATCACAAACTACTAAGTTACAAATAATCCAGAATCCGAAGAAGATAGCAAAGATATCTTGTTGATTAGGGAAAACTAAATAACCACAAAGAGTAGGATTATATAACAAACTACTTTCAACGAAAAACGTATAGAGGTAGTATGATTAGAGAATTACTTTTTAGAAAAGGACCAAATTCTAGATTTTAAAAAATGAAAATAAGGAAAAATCGTTACAATGGCAAGAAGAAGAATAGTAATAGTAAATCAACATCTTATTTGAACAACTAAAAAAAAAAGAGAACAAATATAGTAAGCAAGATCCGAAAAAGAAAACAATTACCTTGAAGAAGAAAAATATGCGATCAAACTTGGATTATATGAGAGCAAGACCTAAAGTTCCAAACATCCATGGCAATCAAACCAATATATAAAACAATTCATGAAAACTCCCCCAACACACATAAGAAATCTATATATGAATTCATAAAAACTTGAAAATAAAAACACACACGTAGTCAAAAACATCCACACATATACATATTTATACAATAAACTATTTCTTAAAAAGAAATTTTATCTACGTTTTTTATTTGTTTACTCTATTATATAATTTTCTATTTCCTTGATGTGGAAAATTAATTTTCCTTTTTCCTTATTATATTTACTCGATTAGATTTTTTAGATGGAAAGTTTATAAAAAATAGAAAACAAATTTTAAGGAAATAGAAAAATTCTTATTAACCAAAAAAAAACTTAATTATAAATACTTACATGACATGTTACTATTGGTGGATTTAAATCATATGTGAACGTCTTTAAGAGTTTATAGCCTCAACTTTTATATAGTATAGATTTGTTCTTAAAAAACATGTTAACATGTGATTCAGCTACACCTTTGTATTTAATTTACCCTTAATGCTCTTCTTTGTATTTAATTTACTTCTCAGCCACTTCATCTTATCGATGCTGCCTCTATAAACATGTGATTCAACTACACACTTTTTTTGTTTTTGAGAAAAAGGCAATGTAATTCAACTACACTTAACAATTAAAAAAACAAATAAAAAGAAACAGCCAAGTTAAAACCTCGGTGATTACCAAAAAACTCAGCAACACAAGAAAAGATAGTGAGAGATGGAGGAAGAACTCAAGAGCTTGATCAAAGTATGGATCTCTGCAATAATCTCTATATCTTATTGTTACTACTTAACACCCAGAATCAAACCTGGTGTTCCTCGATTACTCTCTGTTTCCCCCGTTCTTGCTCTGTTTCTGGCACTTCCTCTGTTTTTCTCCACTGTGCATCTATCTTTAATCACGGCGTTTTCCGTCACATGGCTCGCCAATTTCAAACTCATACTCTTCTCCTTCGATAGAGGTCCTCTAATACCTATTCCCGCCAATCTCTCCCGATTCTTCTGCTTCACTTTCTTCCCCATCAAAACCCATCAAAACCCTAAATCTCAAAACCATTTGCCCAAATTGGTTTTTGCCATTAAAGTTGCCATCTTTGGTGTGATATTACATTTGTATGGCTTCAGAAAAACTCTGTCTCCGACTCTGCTACGTGCTCTCTATTTTCTGCATCTTTACTTAGAGATTGAGATTATCTTAACGTTCATCAGAGTTGTCGTTTTTATCTTTCTTGGCTGCGACCTCGAGCCACAGTCCAATAATCCATACTTAGCCACCTCTCTTCAAGACTTTTGGGGTCGTCGGTGGAACCTCATGGTTCCGGCGATTCTCCGGCCAGCCGTTTACGCCCCCATGCGGCGAGTCTCTGAACGCCGAATTTGCTCTGGTTGGGCTCTGTTTCCGGGGATTTTAGCGGCGTTCGCCGTCTCTGGTTTGGCTCACGAATTGTTGTTCTTCTATTTAACTCGTGAGATGCCCACATGGGAAGTTACTCTGTTCTTTGTGTTACATGGCGTTTGCACGGCGGCGGAATTGGCGGTGAGGAAGAAGACGACAGTGATGCAGCGGTGGCGGTTGAGTCCGATGGTTTCACGGCTGCTCACGGTGGGGTTTGTGTTTGTGACCAGTGGTTGGTTGTTTACACCTCAGCTCGTGAGGAGCGGCGTGATGGAGAGATACACATATGAAGCTTTGTCGTTCGTTGCTTTCGTTAGCACAAGTTATTTACTTTTTTGGGGATATTTACGACGAGTGTTGTATAAAAACACAAGGGACTTATTAGAGCATCCAAAATGAGTTTC